TTAAAGGAGAGAATAAGAAAGAGACATGAGAAATTTATAGTTTTCTATTCTTTATACAATTATAACTGCTTTGAAATATGGTACAGTAGGAATTAGAAATATAATGGAAATAACAATCAGAGGAAACTAAATTTAAAAATGGTTAAAATGTGGTTAATTATTAGGGTTGGGAACAGGGCTACATGGCAGAGAATTTTATTCTTAATTTTCACATTTTACATTTTTTAATTTGTTCATGGGTTTCAACCATGCACATGTATTACTAATAAAATTCGATTTTTTTTAAAGGAGACTTCACCCCTGATTAATCTGGTCCTTTTCTGCTGTAATAATCTATGGTGGTTTCAGTAAGAAGAGAAATATAAAGGAGTGTTATTTGGAAATCAAGATAGAAAAATAGCAATTGGTGGTGATATTCATAAGCCTGCAAAGCATTATATGACATTGTCAAAACTGATATTAAATGTTGCCTTATATGTTGGAAACATCCCACTTCCACTGACTCTTTACAATCATTTAAATAACTTGCAGTATTTCACACATCACCAATATGAAATGACCCTTCCTGTGAGCTTTGCCAAAATATCATTCAGGAAAGAAGGTCTATAATTTGTGAAACTATATACTTAAATAGCTTTTCATTATTTTAATACTCAGGATGAGAGGAGAATGTTTATTCATATAGGCATGCACTGATGAAAACTAAGGTTTGTTGTTTTTGTTTGTTTTTGCTGTGGGATAGGAATTGTGGGCAAAAACACACATAAAAGAAAACAACTGTCCCACACTTTCTCTCCACTCTAATAACCTAGGTCCAGCTCTCCAAAATATATTACACTTTGAGCGATTGCAGTCTCCAAATTTATCTACTTGCCTCTTTTGCCATTCAAGGTTTGTTCTATGCTACTTCTAATTATTTTTCAGAAACATAAACCCAAATATGCCATCTTATTTAAAAATATTCATGGCTTATCAGAGATGACAGGACAAAATTTAATTTTCTTATTATGGTCCTGGACACTTTCCACAACTTGGCATAAACTGCTTTTCTACCTTCAACCTACCTATTTTCTTTCCTAAGATTCCTATTTTCTAGACTAGCACTGATTAACATAACTGTCGGTGATAATAAAAATATTCTATATCTGCACCATCCAAAATGGTAGCCGCCACTCACTTGAAATGTGATAAACACTATTAAGCTATTGAATTTTAAATTTTGGTTAATTTTAATTAATTTAAACCAACCTAGCCTTATATGGCTAGTGCTACTCTATTGGACAATGCAATTGGGGCATATATATATATCAGTCTACTCTTTATTTTCATATGTGAGGCCCAACTTGTTTTGAATAGCTCCCTCTGTCTTAAATGCTCTTTCTAATTTGCTTTCCTGCAAACCACAACTTATTATGCAAAGAACTACTTCAACAATATCATACTTTCTTTGTAATCTTTTTTGTCACATTTCCATTGGAAGAATATTTACAGCTTTTTGAATGAATTATTAATTATTGAAATGGAAGGAAATCTCTGCACTCTACTGTGGCTATTCTCAGCACTACGCACGTGTTTAGTCAGTGCATCATTATGTTGGAGCATGAAATCAAGATGTTCCAAAATGAACATCTTCTTTAAAAGTATCATTTACTTTTATGAATCATATAAAATATTTTGCTTCTGAAAAAGTATTTGAAATTAGTCATCTAATTGCTAATTCCCTTGTAGTATCTGTGTTTACTTTGTATTTTACATTGGACTGTTATTTGTATTGCACTTTATTATCTTGCATTTACATGCCTCATGTATTTTGCTACAACTACATTTAAAGATCCTTAAAACGGAAAACATATTCTACTGTTTTTCTCTCCAAAGTGCTTTGTCCCTCATTGGTGAAATAAATCTCTATCATTTTACATTTTAATCAAATTGAGAAATTGCTAGTAGGTTCTATCCTTAAATGTATCAGGAGACTGTTGGGGAGATAACAGTTTCCTGAGATTTCTACTTATCTATAGACTGAATATTCGAGTTTCACATGAACTACTCTTCAGTTGATAATGACTAGCTTACTGCTATTGCATTTCTGTGACCTTTACTTGTTTCAAAAATGTTTTCAAGTACAAGTTCCAATATAGTTAACTTTTCATGGTTTTTTTGAAATAGGTATTGACCCAAACATACCCAAATTATATCCTTAATGAGTAGAAATAAAAACACAATAACATATATTGGATGGGAATATGGACCAAATCAAATGCCTTTGACATTCACAATAAAAATAAGGAAGAAATGAAAAAATATTGAAAGAAAAAAAGAAGAAAGGAAGGAAGGGAAAGAGGGAGGGAGGGAAGAAGAGAAGGAGAAAAGGCCTAGTATATCATGTGGATAGTAAAGTAGAAAGCATCTTAGTTGATTTATATTTTTCTAAGAGAGTTCATTGAGGCTAAACATTTACTGTGTTCAAATACCATCTTTTCCTAATTGACATAAATTGGTGTATTCTGGGATTCTCAGTTAAGTAGTCAATGGGACATCATCCAGGGGATTTTAGTTTTGTTTAATAAACAGATTGGCCTTTCAGTGACTTTAGTCAAGGTCTTTGGTCCTGGTCTGACTACTGTCATAGTAATTTAAAGGAAAAAAAGAAAAAAGATACTTCATTTTAAACTATTCAGAATTTTGAGCTTATTAAAAAAGTAGAGAGATGGACGGGAGGAAGGGAGAGAAAGCAGAAGGTGAGGAGAAAAAGAGACAGAGAGAGAGACAGAGAGACAGACAAGATTTCTCGGTATAAGTTGTGCATTTGATTTTCCTGGCTGAAACAGAAGAAAGCAGATTCCACAAAGCTCTTAAATAGGACATTTGAAAAAAATAGCAAATGTATTCTTTATAAAAGTGAACTCATGGATTTACCTGATTAGCAAGAATATATGCCTGAACCAAGCAAGAAGTCAGATTTGATTACTGATCCCAGTTTTTCAATCAAAGTGTCATTTATTATTGAAAGAAAAAATGAATTACATAACTGAACAGAAATAAAAAACTATAAAACTTTAATTTGGGGAATGGTTTTAAAGAAAATATTTTTGTGTCTTTGTCAATTATATCAAATTTAACTTTTGATATTTGAAATTTAGTGTTTCAAACTCTCATTTTATATTTATTCCTTATTTTTTCATCTTTAGTATTTTTTTTCCTGGGCTTATGCTAAATTTTAAATACTCAATATGTAGATTTTTTCTTGAATAACTATTCTAATATAGTGCCTAATGTATGTCCTTAATAAATATCTGGTAAATGAGTGATTAAATAAACATCATAATTTTAAAGTTTGCACTATAATTTTTAGCTTTTTGAGAAAATGTGACATACAGTGTGATTGAGAATGTGTGATCCTGAGTCAAAGTGATTAGCGGCAGCCCCTTATTGGCTTTTTATCCTTAGATGTTATAATAATAGGACCTACATTTCACATTATTAGAATGAAATTAGAGAACCCATGCAAGATTGTATACTCCCTGGCTTTCGTTCACAATTTCCATAAGTAAAATTTTCAAGGTAGTAACTGAATATAGTTGCAGATGAGTAAATGATGAAATGGAAAATCTGGAGATGTGCTGGCTTAGATTTTCCTTTAGATAAAGGAAAATAGTAGAAAACCTGCATTTTTTTATTACTTAAAATTTAGCAAATCAATATTAAAGTTAACACCATTGCCCTTTGATGGCGTATTCCTTCAGGGGTCATAATATGTCCTATGTATAAGTTAAAATAACATGAACTTGAGAGACTCACAGGCTAATTCTACAATGTTAAGTTCCCAAATGTGCACTGTCAGCTTTCTTGGGATATTGTAGGAATCTGAAAGCAAATTTATAAAGATTTGTTTTTTGAAGTATAACATGAAAAGCAAAATATAATGTATAAGTATAGCAAAATTTTTATTACAAAATTAATGAAAATGGGGGAGTGGAAAAGTATTGAACCCTAGAATTAATAAGTTTTGGAGACAATATCAAAAACTCTATGCCTCATTATATAAACTCTATAGTAAGCTCACAAGCTTGCCACCCTTGCATAGTTATTTTATATAGTTTTCATTTATTTGGGTATTTTGGAACAAATCCACTTGAAAACATTTTCTAGAGTCAGCATGAAATGCCTTTTTAAATTAATTGTGAGAAATAGATGTTTACCTTCTGAGTTCTCTGAGAAAAGGAAATATAAAAGAAATATTACAAACTTGAACTCTGGCACTAAAAGAGACCTGGGTTTGAGTCTTAGGTCCTTCACTTCCTAAGGCTGTCCTTGTGCAAATTATTGAACTTGTAGTCATATGAGAATAAACAATATTAAGCACGTAAAATGCTTACAGGAGGACTTGGTATTATCAATGTTAGATATTAATGTAAGGTTTTTGAATTACCATTATAACAATAAATTATAGTCAATAATCCAAGATTTGAATATCTTAGAATCAGTTCTAATGTATCAACTCTATGGGCTATAAGATTGTTACACTATTGGGAAGAGGGAATAAGAGAGTATAAATATACAGATACCTAAAATGAACTGTATAGCTATGACTTTCAAACACAGCTGAATACTAATATTAAGGAGGAATCTTTGTCTCTAAAAGGTAAATTTAACGTGGGGGCCACCAGTTGTTCAAATTCCAGTTCCTCACACAAACATAGAATCTCTTTAAAGAATGATCTTAAATATTTTTTAATTACTAGAATTCACCAGTTGGGGAAGAGTCACAGTATACAAAAGCAGTCTTTACATATGTGATTCAAGAGTCTTGTCTAAGGGGAAACATAAATACTCTTTCCTTGACGGGCAATATTAGGTACTCCAGTTTCATTTTCATTTTATTTATTTTTTGTCAGGGTACCTCAAGCACCCATGTTAGTGGAAGCAAGGATAACACAAGTATTCAAAACAGTACCTCTAACAGTAAATTGCTATGTATGAAACATAGATTTTTAACATACCGAAGCCTTGTTTCTTATCCTTTTGTCTCTAGCAGTCTTTACTTTTTTGTTGCTGGTAAAATAATGCAAGGTGCCATATTCCATCAAGGCTGCAAAAACGAAAATGAAACACACAGAAACAAAGAGATCCATCGCAGTCACATAGGAAACCTTCGGTAATGACTTCCTGGCTATTGTACTCAGGGTAGTCATCGTCAGAACTGTGGTAATACCTGGGGAGGGAGGGGCACAACGACAGAAGAGGAGAAATAATCAAACGGACCATTTTTATTCCTTCATCTGATTTGGCAATATTGTAAGCAGAAATAAACAATGGACACAAAAGGGTATGATTACTGTGATTTACAGAAAAAATACTGGTAACCATAGCTACATTATGCTCAATGTGTTCTTTGTGCCTGTGTGTTTTAATCATCTACATTCTGAGGACTGCAAGGAGCTGAATGCCTCTACCCACCCTTCCCTTCCTCTATAGTGATAGACTATCCAGTTTTTAGCAGACACGAGGCTTTGTGTAAACCTACTTTTGCTCCGCTGTGCACGCGCGTATTTATTTTACATATTTGCTATTAAAGGGGATACTTAGAATACTGACTTTAAATCTTTCTTCCTTTCTAATATTAGCATTATAAATCTACAGTTCCCCTTTAAGCAATGTTTTACCTGTATCTTGCAAAAATGTACATAATACATACCTATTAAAATTTAGTTTGGAATATTTTCTAATTTCTCTTTTGACCCAAAGGTTACCTAAAAGGTCATGTTTCAATTTCTAAATACATGAAGACATTATAATCTTTATTATTTTAGTAACTTTTAATTTACAAAATGTTCCCTGGGAAATTTTAGTCTTTTGACTTTTAGTGAGATATTAAGCAGATTCACTGATATTTTCTCCATGTCTTTCCATGATCAAACTCCTACAATAATCTCCTATGACATTTGGAATAAAACCCAAAATCCTTAAAAAGACCTACTAATACTTAAATAATCTAACTACTGCCTACCTCTTCAATCTCATTTTCTACCACTTGTCAACCAACTTTAGCCACAATTCTCTTCCTGCACTTCAAGCATGGCCTGATAAGGAAGACCCCACTTCAGAACTAGTTCTCTTGCCTGAGCAATCTTTCTACCAGATACCAGCGGGCTAGCTCCTACACTCCTGTGTGTCTGCTACATCTTCAGAGAGGTCTAGCCTGACTCCCTGAGATAAAATAGCAAACAGTATGTCTACCAACATCCCTGTGATTCTGTAGCCATTTCTTTTTTGCTTTCTCTTCATAATTTTTATGGCTGTCGGCATTTCATTCTGTGCTTTTTATATTTGTACACCACTTGTATTACATCATTAAAACATTGCCACGAACATGAAGATTTTATACTGGAGAGCATCATGCTAAGCGAAATAAGCCAGGGGGCGAAAGACAAATACCATATGATCTCACCTATAAGCGGAACCTAACCAACAATGCAAAGATGCAAGGAAAATATGACCAGCAACACTGAAAGGAAAAGAAATCAACAGAGACAAGAGGGAAGGGGCGGGCAGGGAAAAGGAAGGGAAGGGGAAAGTCAAGGAACATATAGCAAGGACTCATGGACAAAACCAAAGGGGAAGAGCTGAGGGAGGGAAGGTGGGAGGGGGCAAGGGAAAGAGGTGGGGGGAAGGCAGAGACAAATGTATTTAAAAAGTAAATAAATTAATTAAAAAAAAAAGTAAATAAATTAATTAAAAAAAATTAAAAAAAATAAATATATAAACATGGGAAAAAAATAAAAAAATAAAATAAAAAGGTACAGAATAGAAAAAAAAAGAATGGTTAAAAAAAAGATTTTATAAATATTGTTCACTGTTAATACTAAAGTACCTAGAACACTGTTTTGCTTATAAAAAACATTTGATAAAAGTTGATTAAAATGCAATGTTGAATAAATGAGCTCAGAGAATTTTATATATTTGAAGTACACATACATATACATGTATGTATACTTAAAAACTTTATATTCCAACTACATAGACCCAGAATTATGTGAGATATTCTTCAAGTAGGATCTATCACTTATCTTTACAGTTGATATCCTAATATAAAAAATATAAATTCGTGCAAAAAATAATTCGATAGTTGACTATTCTTTTTCATAACACTAAGGCATATGATTTTTGTCTTCATAAAAACTAATGGAAGAAATAGTTCATTCAAATTCTCTTAGGAAAAAATACCAGAATAACTAACAATACATACTATTCAAGTCATATTCAAAGTAACATATACATACTCTAACCATTTATTTATCTAAACACAAAAGTAATTTGAAATAATAATGATTGTTTAAATAGGAAACAAAATTCAGGTACGAGTGCATATTATTCACTACCTATGTCTACTCTTCTGTTTAGACTCCCAGAGGTGCTGCATTTCAAGTACAGAGTTAGGTGCCTCAGGTTTTATCTTGCCACTTTTATGTGATTTGCTTTTTAATTTTCAGTAATGTGATTCACTTCCTGCATTATTCTTGGGAATGAATCAATTGATCAGTGAGTTGTCTATGTATGTCAATACATGAATGTATAATTTTTTTTAAATGCATAGCAATTGGAAACATTTTTATTATATGACATTGATTATTGAAATAGATTACTAAAGAAAGAAAAAAGTCTATTTTATCAACTATGAATTACAAGTTACCTTTTAAATCAATGTAATTCTACAGGAAACTCAAAATATTCAGAGGCTAAGTACACATTTTACAGACTACAAGAGCTTAGAAGCTTCTTGTTCTTTTAGAACAGTTGACTATTCATTAGCACTATTGTATGAGCAAGGCACTTCAAAGCCTGCTAACGACACACCAGTCAATAAATGTTCCCAATTAGTGATTCAGCTAAAAAGGAAAATAAAACTTGATGAAAAGCGATAGAAAATGTTGAAAATCAGTGATTATATATGATTTTATGTGTTAATTTTTATTGTGTTTATGCTTTCCTTGACCTTTATTAGTGGAAAAAATAAAATGTTTTCTAAAATTTCAAGAAGCAATTCTTTTTGCTTCTTGTTTTTCATATATGTATTTCAACATCATATTGTAAGAGAGTATCTGTTAATTTTGTTTTAGTGTAGAGAAATATGTTAATATATTCAATTTTAAACTTCTATCACATTAAAAACTTTGTAAAAGTCCTGTGACACTGTAGTATAATATTATATGTCATACCCAGTGAGGTTCTTGCAGGCACTGCATCTTTATTGATCCAAAAAGACACCCAAGAAAGAACAACTGTCAGAATACATGGAATGTAGGTCTGAATAGTGAAATAGCCCATTCTTCTGCTCAGGTCAAAGAAAATTGTCATGATAACATAATCTCCTGAAAGAAAGAAAAAAGTTTATTTTGGCTCTAAAAATATTTAGAAATATAGATTCCAACCCATAGATTTAAGTACAAATGCTATATCACTATTTTTGTGTTTTCTTCTTACCAGAGATCGTGTGACAAATTTCAGTTGAGTTCCGCAACCCTACAAATGCGAACTGATATAATCTCCAATACTTAGGATCAGCCACTTCTACAGAAGGCTTTTTCCACTTATACTCAATTTCATTTTTAGGGTATCCATCTAGATAATAAATTATAATAAAATATATAGATTAGTAGGATCAAAATCCAGTACTGTTACAATACCAACATTATCCAAAGATAATTTTTTTAAATTATTCCTCATATTTGTATTATAGTATATGTCAAAAATAGAAAATACCACATAAAATTTCTGTGTACCTTTTAAAAATTAATCATATAATTAAGAATTAGAACCTTGCTAGCATCCTAGAAATCTCATGTGTGCTTTCCAATATAGTATTTCCTCTCCCAACTAGAGAAAACCACTAACGCGATTTTCTATAATTCTTTAATTCATTTTTTGTTATAGCTTTTTGATATGCATTTGTGAAAAACAGCTTAATTCAGTTTTTTTGAACTCGACTGATGCTCTACGGAATACATTATTTTATATTTTTCTTCTTTTAATATATTTATGCAATGCATTTTTGTACATTAACTTGTATTATGCAGCTTTTGCATAATGAATTGTATTATTACAATTAATTATATTTGTTTATTGTTTCCAGTAGTCTTCTTGGAGTCTTTAAGGTTTTCCATATATAGAATCATATCAGTTGCAAAGAGTGACCCATAATTCTTCATTACCAATTTGGATGCTTTTTATTGCTTTTTGTTTCCTGATTGCTCTGTCTAAAACTTCCAGAACTATGTTGAATAAGAATGAAAAGAGTGGATATCATTGTCTTGCTCCTGATTTTAAAGGAGAAGGTTTTAGTTTTTTCACCATTGGGTAAAATATTAGTTGATGATTTGTTATATATGGCCTTTTTTATGTTGAGGTAATTTTTTTCTATACCTATTTTATTGAATGCTTTAATAAAAATGAATGTTGTATATTTTCAAAAGTTTTATTTCTGCATCAGTTGATAAGATTATTTTCATCCTTTGTTTTGTTAATATAGTGTCTTATATTGATTGATATCCATCCTTGTGCCCCTGCAATGAACCCACTTGATGGTGATTAATTATTTTTTAATGTATTGTATTCAATTTGCTAGTGTTTTTGGGGGGAGGTTTGTATCTGTGTTCACTAGAGTTATTGAACTGTAGTTTTGGGGGGGATTGTGTTATCCTTGCCAGGTTTTGGTATCAGGGTAATATTTGCCTCATAAAATTTGTTAGGAAGTATTATTGCCTCTTAATTTTTTGGATGAGTTTGAGAAGGATAGGTATTAAAATCTTCTTTGAATGTTTGTTAAAATTCACTAATGAAGCCATCTGGTCCTGGACTTTTATTGTGTGGAAGGTTATTGATGGTTGTTTCAATTTCCTCATTGTTGTTCACTGTATTTAGATTTTCCTATTCTTCATGATTCACTCTATAAAGGTAATGTATTTTTAGAAATTTATCCACTTTTTCTAGGTTATTGAATTTAGTGGCAGATAGTCTTTCATATTATTCTAGAATGATCATTTGTATTATACCTGTGATGTCTGTTCCAACTTCTCTTTCATTTCTGATAGTGTTTATGTTGAGTTTTTAAATTCTTTAATAAGAATAGATAAGGGTTAATCTTTTCAAATAACTATTTTTTGTATTAAAATTTTGTAGTCTTTTTGTTCTCTATTTCATTCAATTCTGCTCCAATTTTTATTATTTTCTTTTTTCTGCTGACTTTGGGCTCCTCTTGATCTTCTTTTTCTACTTTTTAAAAAAGTAATGTTAGGTTGTTTACTTGAGATTTTTCCTGTATCTTGAGATAGGCCTGTAATGATATAAACATCTTTCTTATTACTGCTTTTGCTGCATCACATAAGTTTTGATACATAGTATTGTCATTTCTCATTTGTCTCTGTACACCTTTTTTATTAAATTTATTAGAATCAAATGAAAAAAATAAAATTATAAAATAGAAACAGACTCATAGATACAAAATGGACTGATAGCAGTCAGAAGGGGGAAGTTGTCTCTGTATATCTTTTGATCTCATCTTTTATTTTCTGACCCAGTCATTTTTTTTTATTAGTATGTTATTTAATCTGTAAATATTTTGGGGTTTCCTTACTTCCTTTTTGCAATTGACTTCTAATTTCAAAGCACTCTGGTCACAGATTAGGCTTAATATTATTTCAATCCTCTTAAATTTGTTGAGGCTAGTTATATGACCCAACAACATAGGGTCTAGCTTTGAGAATATTTGATGTACATATATAATTTGTTATTCTGGGATGAAAGGCTCTGTAAATATCAATTATGTCCATTTGTTCTAATGTGTAATTTGAGGCTGATATTTCTTTATTGATATTCTGTTTGGATGATCTATCCAGAGCAATAGAGTATTTAGGTCCCCAGCTACGATTGTGTTTTTGTCCATTCTCCCTTTGGTCCTGTTAGTTGTTGCTTTACATATTTTGGTGCTCCCTGCTTGGGTGCATATATATTGAATAGTGTTACATCTTCTTGATGTAGTGTCACCTTTACCATTATACAATATCTACCTTTGTCTCTTGTTACCTTTGTTATCTTGAAATTACTTTGCCAGATATAAGTACGACTATACTTGCTTTTATGTGAATGTTATTTGCTTGGAGAATCATTTTCCCCCTTTCTCTTTGAGTCTATCTTTGTCCTTATTGATTAGATGTATCTGAAGGCAGAATATGGTTAGCTTTTGTTTTTGATCCAATATATTATTCTGTGCATCTTTATTGGTGAATTCTATTTCATTTAAGGTGATTATTGATGGATAAAGATTTTCTATAACCATTGTAGCTTTTGTTTTCTGGTATCTCTGAGCCTCCATTGGTTCTTCTCATTTGTGTTTCTGTGTGTTGTTTTTGTTTGGTGGTATCCCACACTTTGTTTCATTTTTTAAGTTGCTTGTCTCAGTTTTAGGTTGGTTCCTTTTTTAGGTTGGTTTTGCTTTTAGCTTTATGAAAAAGAAATTTTCATGTATAAAGTGGTCATTTTTATTTTGAATGTACCTGATTTCCATCCTCCTTCAAAATTCAGAATTTTACCCCCTCCTTTTTTATGTTTAGTTAATGAAAGATATGAAAGGTTTAGTGCAATTCCCATCAAAATACCAATGACATTTTTAAAAATGGACAAAAAATCATCAGATTTGTACAAAACCATAAAAGATCGTAATTAGCAAAAAACAACACTGAGGAAAAAAAGAACAAAGCTGGAGATATCATACCAACTGACTTCAAATTGTACTACAGAGCAATGATAATCAAAACAGCATGGTATCAGCAGAAAAACAGATATGCAGACCAAAGGAACAGAATTGAGAGCCCAGGAATGAAATCATATGTATATGCACAAATAATTTTTTGATAAAAGAACCAAAAACAAGCAATGGGTAAATGAAAACCTCTTCAATAAATGGTGCTGGGAAAATTGGAAAGCACATGCAAAAGAATTAAACTAGGCTACAGTTTGTCCCATGTACAAAAATCAATTCAAAATGGATGAAAGACCTAAATATAAGACCTGAAACAATAAATTACATGAGAGAAAACATAGGTACTAAACTCATGGACCTTGGTCTTAGAGAACATTTTATGAATTTGACCCCAAAGGCAAGTGGAGTAAAGGTAAAAATAAATGAATGGTACTGTACCAAACTAAAACACTTCCACACAGCAAAAGAAATCTTAACAAAACAAAGAGGCAACCAATCAAACTGGAGATGGTATTTGCAACCAACAGCTCTTGCATGGGGTAAATATCCAAAATATATAAAGAACTCAAAGAACTCAACACCAAACAAACAAACAATCCAATTAAAAGTGTGCTGAGGACCTGAACAGACATTTTTCCCAAGAAGACATAAAAATGGCCAACATATATAAAAAAGATGCTCAATGTAACTAGCTACTAGGGAAATGCAAATCAACTACAATAAGAGACAGCAGGTTAGAATAGCTATTATCAACAGGACAAGTAATAACAAGAATTAAAGATGTTCTGGAGAAAAAGGAACCCTCATTCAATGCTGGTGGAATGTAAACTTGTACAACCACTATTGAAAATGGTATGGTCTTTCCTCAAAAATTTAAGAATACAGTTACGGTATGACACAGCAATATCTCTTCTGAGTATCTACCCTCAAATCTTGAAAACATTTACTTGTGAAGATATACCATATACAGCCTTATGTTCGTTACAGCGTGACTCACAATGGCTAAGACATAGAAACAACCAAAGTGCCCTTCGATATATGATTAGATAAGGAAGATATGGCACTCATATACTATAGAATACTATTCAGCCATAAGAAAAGATGAAAAACTGTCATTTGCAACAACATAGGTGGACCTTGAGAATATTTAGCTAAGCAAAATAAATCAATCAATAAAAGCTAAAACCATATGATTTCATTCATATACAGGACATAAAACTGAAAGTTATAGACACAGACAACAGTATGATGGTAATCAGAAAGAAGGAGGTGGGGTGTAGTAAAGGGTAAAGGGAGGCAAATGCATGGTGATGGAAGATGATCTGCCTTCTGGTGTTGGGCACACAATGCAATATAGAGGTCATGTGTCATAGAAATTGTCACTTGAAACCTATATAATTTTATTAACCAACGTCTCCGCAATAAATTTAATAAAAATAAAAATTTAAAAATAAAAATATAAATAAAAGCAAAGAAGAAAGAAAATTAATATCATATTTATAAGTCATCCATGCTGTAGCTATAGAAAATGTTTACATTGTAAAAATGTACTAAAATGTATTTATCTATTTTACTATTGTAGACACCTGTAATGATTTCTATTTTCTATTAATAACATTGTTGCCAATAGCATTATTGTACACACCTAACGAAACACAAATATAAAACATTTTCTCTGAGAAATACAAGGTCTACCCAGGCAGTATCCAGCCATGTAATATGAAAAATCAACACATTTATTGAAGAAGATACAAGATACAAGAAACATTGTTCATCGGACAATGACACCTCAGTCTCCGTCAAAGTAGGCACCTTGGGACCTCACACAGTTCTCCCAGCGGTGTCAGTCACATGTCTTTGTTAACTGCAGCCCGGACACATTCAATATTCTCAGGTGTTCTGCTTATTGCAGACCTTTCAGGACCTGGGTCACTTTCAACAAATTCTCGACCGCTTTTAAAGCGTTTGTGCCACATTTGCATTTATGCTGCACTCCTTGCATGGTTTCTAAAAGCCTTCTGAACCACCTGAATAGTTTCCAAGGAGGAATGTTCAAGTTCAATGCCAAATTTGATGTAGAATTTTTGCTCAACTAGCTCAGGCATTTTGAATATGATTGCCACACAATACATATGCTGACTCAATGGCGTGACCACCACCACTGATTAGTACAGTGAGGTTGTCATTGTTCACACATATATGTTCCAGTCCATTCATTCTCCTTAACTTTCAGGTTACATTGATGTCACACAAACTGTTCTCATTATGCTGACCATGGCTGGATTTTTTCTGGACAGACCTTATATACTTACATACAGACTAGCTGGGTCATGGGTTACTTGTAATTTCCACTTTATGAGACACTGCCAATCTTTTTTTCATAAAGAATATACTAATATAGTCTCTCACCAGCCAGAGTGTGAAAGTACATATGCATCCACATTCTCATGAATCAATTATCTTAAATTGATGTGGATTGTGTTCTTTTATTTAGTGGTTTATAGACTGTATTTTATTCCACATTTTCCTGGTCATAAATGAAACCTAGCAAGTTTTAAATATCTTTATTAGATTCTTGAGTTTCTTTGGAGAATTGCTTGTTCAATTTCTCATTGCTTTATTGAGGTTTCTTTTTGTCTAAATACTTTACATGTTCTGAATATTAGCCTTTTGTTGTTGTTATTGTTGAAAATGTCTTTGCCTATTTTTAGCTGTCTAGAATGCATTCTCCCACAAAGGATATGTTTTGTTTCTGCCACATTTCAGGAAAATTCACAACAGCATTTTTGGATCAATCAAGTGAAGGGAAAGTGGCTTGCAAATCCTTGTGAAGGTCAGCTTGTTATGAAATTCTCTCAAGGAGTTATTTCACCTTGGTATACTGATTGCAGAAGCAACTTTCCTTTTAGTCTTTAGTGGTTGTGTACAGGATGGTAGAGTCAGTGTCTTCATATTACACTGTGCCCAGCCATTTGTAACCAATATGTATGTAGAGATTATATTCTATTAGATCCCCAATGTACAAGGCTGTCAAAATCAAAGCTTAAATTGATCCTATTTAGCAAATGTCCTCAGGTCAAAATGGCTCTAAATTTTCTTACCACTCTGGCTTCAATTTCTTATGTGGATTTTCATGGCCAAAATTTTCTTTCTGGTAATTACTAGTACATTTTTTATAAGATTTTATTATAAACAGCTTTAAGTTGTTTTCATCCAAAGGACTGATCTACCATACCAGAGAAACAGTATTCATTATCAACTTTACAAATTTCTGAAACCAATTCACAATTTTGTACCACGATCCCCTCATCAGCCATGCAATGCAATAGCTGTTATCTTTCCACAGACCTGTTTAATAATGTTTTCTCTTTCCCTTTTTCATCTTCTCTCATTTGTACTTTAGAGCTCTATCTTGTTATCTTGTTATTCCATTTTATTATCATTATAGAGACAATATAGTATAGTTATAGTGCATAGAAGTATAGGCACAAATAAAAAGAGTGAGCTAGTTACTTAAATACTCTAAATCTCATGATAATTAATTTTTAAAATGGGAGCTGTAGTGAAATCTTCCAAATATATTTGTTGTGAAATATTAATGTAGAAAGCTTAATTTTCTATTGGATCTATTATAGAGTGCCTGAGGAAAAAACATGATTATGTTTACGTCAGTTATGCTCAGCTGCATTAGGGATAGAATATTAATTCCTAATAACAGAAATCAAAATATCACGAAAATAATTTAGACATAGTATATAGATTTGAACACAATAAATGCTGCAACTTGAAATATGCACATATGAACACAATATTCCTTGTGTTTTTATTGATCAAGTCTTTGCTGCTATTCAGCTATATTATTCTCTGAAAAGTTAATATTAGAAAATTAGAGCAGTGGGGTACAAGATTATGAGTTAAAAAGGATATTTTAATGAGACAGAAATTATTCAGAAAAGTCAAGAAAATCATTAACAAAATCAAGAACAGTTGTGTAAGGATTTCATAAGTGAAGAAGCACAATATAATACTTATAAATATGTATAATCTATTGTAAATATATTGTAGAATATAAGATATTAAAAATAAAAAGTTCAAAAGAAAAAATAAAATTAGACAATTTGTAGGTACAGGCAATAAGACTTTTAAAACTCATTTTACATGTTTTCAACACTTGCTTGATTATATATTATCTAGAAAAGTATTTTCATAAAAATATATGTGAGGATACATATGGTAGTAAATAAGAAATACAATTGATAACATTATAGAAAGATTCTAATTATTTTCTTGGAACAAAATATTAGTTTTTATATAGCAATTATTTAGCTCTAATCTCTAATCATCTCTCTATGTTTCACTCTTACTTTTTTTAAAACTTTTTACTGTTGACATTACTGCAGATGTCCCCATTTCCCCAACCCCTTTGCCCGCCTCCCCGCGGCCCCAGTTCCCATCACCACACCGTTGTCTGTCTATGGTTAATGCATACATATACATAAACTAATCCCTTCACCTTCCTACATCCAGTGCCCCCTTACGCCCCTCTAAGAGCTGTCACTCTGTTCCATTTGACCATGGCTCTCTTTCTATTTTGTTGATCAGTTTTTATTTTGGTCATTAGATTCCACAAATAAGTGAGATCAAATGGTATTTGTCATTCATTCTTTTGAAAAAGAAAAAACATTTTTCTACCTAGCTTTTCCAACTCCTTAAAGACTTTGCAAATATTTGTTATTCACGTAGTAAATATTCTTCTCCAAACCAATGTAATAAAGTTAAATCTTGCCAAAGGAAGATTAATAAAATTTGAGTTAACTTTTTATTTCTGGCAATGCAAGAACATTTTAACACAAACCTATCTTAAGTACTTCTTTATTTAATGAAAATATAAAAGGGCACTTGGTTAAAGCTAAAATTTGCAAAGAATAATATAATAAAATGCATACATTCCCTATTTATTATCATTTTAAATTTAAATATGAGACAAATGGCATGGTAATTATTTTACCTAGGGGAGCTGAACATAATCCACACTTCTGAAAATTGTATTTTTTTATTTTGTCTTATTTTGCACTTTGAAATAAACAGATTCTAAGCATAAAATTCTGTGACATTATCATGTTTTTTATCACTTACAGCTTGAAAATTCCAGTGGACAGGAATGTTCATCCATAGGGAAGTTATGAAGCTGAAGATAACATTCTGCATTAATTGTCAATCTAGATGGAAAAATAAATATTAAAATGAGAAATAATTTCAAGCATTTGAAAATGTTTTCTTTAATTTTCAAACATGATTTTGACTTATATTAGTGGACTTTGATATATTAGAAAATAATAATTCTAAAATCTCAAAGTCTTAAGTGGAAATATTGTAACATTCAAATATGAGTCAGACAATCCTAACATTTTCCTCCGTAGTCAACTAAACCTCCTCTATATACATTTAGTAGAACCTCTTCTTACAGGTGAAAATTTGTGCTTTAGGAGATCAACACATACATATGTGGGCTCCTGTGTGCTTGCACACACACACACAGCTAACAGAGTGTGAACTGTTAAGTATGGTAATTTTTATCCTAATTTATCATGATCACTTTTCCATTGCGGGTTATTCATAATAAGCAAGTATGTTCAAGGAAATAAATATATTTGAATATTACATATCAGGATTCATTCAATCCTTTCTTAAGGATATTTTACTGTATCACTGAAAATCACAGTGCTACTCTGGGAAGTGTTTCCAAAGTATTGCGCCATAGAGTTTAGTGTGTGAAATGAGCTTCGTATTTCTTACTTTGCAACTTCAAAAAGGGAAATTTATGAGTTTAATCATAAGGATCAGATATTAGTAAGGAAAAATAAGTTAGAACACTACACTTTTTACATAGTAATACCTTAAAGTATATAGAACTCGTCCATCATTCCAAATTCGAAGCAGACGATTAGGAGTTGTTATCCAATGAGCATCAGATTTTCTTGAGTTTCTGAAGAAAGTATCAGGTATCCAAATTTTTCCAACCATATTGCTGTTAAGCATAAGCACTTTCATGGTACTGTTGAATTTTAAACGACTGTCAAACCAGGTTTGGGCAAAAATTATATCAATTGTGTATTCCTAGAGGATTAAAAAATGTAATGACATATAATAGTAAAGTCACTCTTTTAGACACTTGAATTTTCTATTAAAATAATCCCATAAATTGATAGCACTTAAACTCAGTTTTTGGAAGTAAAAACATAGGCCATAATCTAAAACGTTTTAGAAATTATTCTATAAGTCATGTAAAAATAATCCAAGATTTTTAATAATTACTGCTGCTTAGTGTGATTTTATATTTTTTTGGAAATTTTATTCAAGATTTTATAATATGTAGAATGTAGTCATTAAGTTCAAAAGCATATTACCTTAATGTTAACAGCTATATTAATTTTTGATATTCATATGGTGCTTCAATCACCAAGAAAAAAATTACCAAGTAAATAATTAAAATGTAAATATTGATCAAGTTTCCTATTATGATTATTTAGATTACTGTTTTCAAATGTTTTAAACCAAACACATATACACACTCCCTATTCTTGGGCAGCTTCACAATAGTTATCGTTTATGCCTATCCCAAATTCCTGCTTCTCAGGCCAGCCTCTTCAACTAACACAAATGATTAACCATTCAGAGTCTAACAGTGTAACCTGTGTTAGTGACATGCTTTCTGGTTTTAGTAGTAAATGCAAATAGAAAGAAAGCTCACACTTCTTTCTAATGAATATATCATTAGTAGATACGGTAGATCTCAGGAATAGTAGTTAATCAACATAAAATGCCAGAATTTAATTCTACTTTGGTATGTAATAAAACAGCAGAAACTGCTTAAATAAACGAAGAGGCATACATATGTGCCAGGATTATAGCTACGCAAAGATCCAGTATTGACTAGTAGAGGGAACCTCATGCTATTGGTAAGCATACTTAGCTGCAATATTCCAAACCAATGGGGCATTAAAAGTGGTGCTTGAGAATTAACTTGTCTGGGAGTGGGATTTAGCAAACACCTGTGAACCTTATCAGTTAATAAGAACTGACAAGATCTTCATTAAAACACCTGTTTATAAAAGAGCTAATCACTGTTGAAAGAGTTATGACTTCTAAAGGGTCAAACTTTCCAAAGCAAAAAGTCTTGGGAAAATGTGAAATTTTTTCTACTCAAAATTATTCTCTGAAACTAGGATCAAAAAGAGAAAGACATTTTGATAATCTGTCCAACCCAAATCCTTAATGGAAGTTAATGATTCAAAGCTCTTTTAAATTGCTAACCCTTAATAAGTGTCTCACTGAGATAAGAAGGTCATGAAGTTTGTTCTATTTTATATGTAATTGAAAAATCAAATTTTGTTTACTCACTTGAATTAGTGTAATTTCCAGAAAGTGATCAAACTGTATTCTTGTACTTCATGTTCCTATGTAGAGGTTATAACAATGTGCATAATAAATAAGCAAGAGAAACATAAAAAAAAAAACTTCCATTTACCCAGACCATGTGCAATAGCTTCTAGGATAAAGATTTGGAGGTAAGGAATACTACATTTTACATTTGATATCCAATATATATTATAAAACTTCCTTTGTCTCCTTGAAAGTTAGCTGAGAAAACATCATTAGTAATTAAAGATGAAGTGAGTGAGGTTGATGTCTAACTCTATTAAATAAACCATAATAATGAGAGTTTATGTAGTGTAGTCTTCCTATTACACTGCTAGCTTTCCAATTATGCAGTCTGTCTTACACTTAACAATTTAATTCAATATTACTGTCTCTCAAGTAATAGAAGAAATTTCACATAAAATGCCTAAAAAATTATTGTAGGGGCATAATTTCATCATGAAATTTGGTTGATAATGATCTTGTCTTTTCACCTGGACATTAATCTCTCCCTGAACTCTCTATTCACACGGCCAGATATTACAGTGGGCCAAAAAATGGTTGGCAGCAAATCAAATCTAAGAGCTACAGACATGTTGAGAAAAGGTACAACTGTAGTTTGTAGTTTGAAGAACCAAGGAAGAGTTGATGTTTCAGTAGAGTCAGAGACAGTCTGGAGAAAAAAATCCCTTTTTCCTCAAAAGATTCAGTTTTTCCTTTTAAAGCTTTTATCTGATTGGATGATGTCCAGCTACCTTATAAAAAATAATCTGATTTACCCCAAATCTACTGACTTAAATGTTAATCATATCTAGAAAATGCCTTTACAGCAACATCTAGATTAGTGTTTAACAATATTAGGGTACCATAGCCTAGTCAAGTTGACATATAAGATAAACCATTGCAGAGCTATAACAGTAAGAATGCACATTCATAGATTCAGAAAGACTTAACAAAACCCATGCATGTGTTTCCTTGCTAGAAAAGTTAAAATGAATACTTGCTGTAGGAAGTAACATATACACCCAGTTCATGCTCCCTGTATAAGTAGAACATTTTTTCATTTTGTTCTATTCTTACTCTGTCTCTGAGTGAAATTTATTCCACATTTCTTAACTGAGTAAATGGAATATATTGTAAATCATTTATCAGTAAATTCTTGTCTTTTTTTTCCATTCTCAGAACTCAAAACTTGACCTGAACAAACTCTCCCAAAGTCTAAAATGAGGGTGGATTCAATTAGGTACAGTTGGGTCAGTTGGATATAAGGCCAATTTTGAGGATGGAGGAGGGACACAAAGTTCAGTTGTTAATTCTTTCCTACCTTCACCATTCCATTGAATTTCACCTAGTGAAGATAACCAGTACCACCTAATTGCTGACACTAGTGGGCTCAATTTAATTCATTTTTCACTGGATTCTCATGTACATTAAGAACTAAATATTAGTTCCTCCTTCTTCATGCTATTTAATCATCTTATATAATATCATCTTCTCCTGGTTCTTCCCTTACTCCTCTTGCTTTTCTGAGTATGTCCATTTTCTGCACCTCTCTTTTCTCCATGTGTATTCATTATGCTCTCATTTTAACATCAGGTCCTTAGATCTGCGTTCTTCTTCATCTCCATTTCCTCATGGATCATTTCATATATTGTTGAGATTTTTAAATATATAAATGGTTTAATCTTTATTTTATTTTTTCATTACCATTCAGTCCCCTTATACACCACCCATCCAGCTATCATCGCACTGTTGTCCATGTCCATGAGTCCTTTATCTTTTTGCTTAGTCTCTCCACCCCTTAACCACCCCCCACCCATCTGTCATTCTGCTCTCCAACTATGAGTCTGTCCCCATTTTCCTTGTTTGTTCAATTTATTCATTAGATTCCACATGAATGAAATTGTATGGTATTTGTCTTTCTCTGACTGGCTATTTCACTTAGCATAACTTTCTCCTGTTGCTTGCCCTTCTTCTGTTCCTCGTTTACGTCTCTATCCAGTCATAACTTCTTTCTTGACCAGAGGCTTAAACTCTAAATTATTGTTGGACAGCTCTTCTTGAATGTGCCATTAGCCTTTGGGGCACACGGCTGTTTTTCCCATTTCAATTAATAACTCTACCATCTTCAAAGTCTTCTCATTTTTATACCTTGGTCTTAGCCTATGCACAACCAAAGAACCTTTAAATTCTGCAAAATTCATTCATCTAATATTTCTTAAATGTACTATTGTCTTCTCCAGCTCAATTGCTATTGCACTAGGGAAATCCTTTAAGATCTATTGTTCAGACTGATTCAACAACTTCTTCACTGATCCCCCTCATGCTGGCTTGGCTGCTTATATCCCTCTTCTATACTCTTTGAAAAATGTTATGTTAATGATATAAGTCTGCTTATGACATGCTCCTGATGAAAAACTTCCACTTATTTCTCTTATTCAAGGGAATATAATTCATATAATGTGTAATCTTCTTATTATGGCTTACATAATAAGGCTCTTAAACATTATCTAAGCCTTAATTCTTTACCTTGCGTTTATGTCCCAGTGTTATCAAATTGCAGTTTTATTTTTCCATGACTCTTTCCTTTTTTAGTAAGTTCTTTTCCTTCTCTGACTGGCTACTTTCCCTTCAGTCCTTCTTGTTACCTTCTTCAGGATTTCTTTAGGGATCCATCTTGATGGATTGTATGGTAAGACTATTTCCTAGCATAGTTCCTACCAAATATAGCACATTGGAGCAAATGGCTACACGTTCTTAGGTATGGGAATATTTTAGTTCCAGTTCCTAACACCTGACAGGTAATAACTGGACATTTTGCCCTCACGTCATTCAGAATTAGGTATCAGAAATTACTTACATATTTATTCCATTATTGAGGTACATACTCAAAACTGATGCCAGAGTTTTGTTCTTTAGTGTTGATTACTCACCATATTTATGGGATCAACCGGTCCAATGCTGTTTACATAAACATCTGTTTCAATTACTGTGGGCCTTACTGTAAAATGTAAAATAAATAATGGTCAAAGATATGACCAGAAGTTACATTCAACAGAACTTAAGTTACCAAATAATCTAAATAAGTAATAATATTTACTGTTCAAATAATAAAAAGTCCTTATTAAGAAATGAAGAAACAAACTGTCGTAAAACATAAACACTTCTTTAGTTTACAAATTGATTATGCAACTAAAAATCACACTTTTGACTGGAAACATCTCATTGCATAACCTACAGAATGTTTTAAAAGAACCTAAATCATTCATGAAAATAATTTAATTAAATAAAAATTGCCAGATAATTCGCTCTGCAATAGTCATAAGATTTTAAAATTTGAGTCGATTTGAGTAGAGCTTATTATTTTTACTTACCTGTTTCTCCCTTGTTAACAACATTCCTGTAGTTCAGTTGGCTCCAATGTAAGGTGGATTTTTACTAATTCTCACAGAGTGTAAGTTATGGGCATCACTATGAACTTTATGTTTTGTACATACCACTAGTGTCTCCCAGTAAGTCTTTAAAAGGTATATCTATTATTTTTATACTCTATAAAAATGTGCAGCACAAGTCAGCATTTTAAATGTTTATCAAATGATATGATTAACAAATATCCACAATCTTTGATTGTGATTTAGGCTTTCAAAGTTTGCCAGGTATTTATAGTTCTTATAATGAGATTTGCCATAATAATTATAATGATAATTTATACTCATAAGATTTTTTGTTTGTATGAAAAACATGTTTACATAGTTTATTTTATTCCTCTTCTCCACCAAATAAGATGTAAGTGGTTTATTCATTGATTAAGCAAATACTTGTTGAGAATGTATGTAAGCGGTTCACAGAGTAGATGAGGAATCATTCCAAGAAAAAATCTATTATATATACCACAGAGATGTTTTATAAGGAGATGATGTAAATGAAGTAAAGCAGGAAAAAAACAACTTACAGGGTAAAAGCTTCTAAAGTAGCATGTTTTCTGTAATATTTACTTAGCTCTCCTTTTTAAACTTCATCTAATTTCCCTTCCTGGCTTAACATTTATCACTCTTACAATGCCGACGCTCTGTTCCACTTGGCAGGACATGCCTCCTCTTCTAATACCTCGCTGAGCCTGCCTGCCTGAGTCTCTGTGCAGCCAGAAGTCTCCCTGTCTTAGGACCTTCCACTCTGGCAGGGCTCCCAGGCTAGCAAGCTTCAGTGGAAAATTTGAAACATTTTGAAAAACAGTGCCTATATAATCTTGTAATAATATTTAATCTTACCCTTTGCAATTTAAAAAAAGCTACACTTAAAAATATATACATAACATTTAAATAATTTGTTTTCTTTCAAGCAAAGAATTTATTACATGGTACACATATTTCTTAGCTAGAAAAATAAATAAGGCTTCCTAGAAATAGTTTTAGTACAAAGAGATCAGTTTTTAGACTTATACATAATAATGTAATTTGATTTTTCTAGCCCACAATTAGATTTCTTAAATAAAAGTGGGTCATGTGATTTATAGAAGGTTTTGTAAATTAACTTAAGCTGATAACTTCTGCATTGCTTTAACCGCTTGCCATTTATTTTGACTAACTATGAATTGTAGCCAATAAATATAATATAATTAAGATATTATAGCTCGATTGTCAGAATGGTTTTTAGGAAAGCTCATTTATAACTGGGCAGTATATTATTACCACTTATATACCATTAAGTGCAACATACCAGTCATACTTAATTAGATGTTTTCAGTTCGTTTAATAAGTCAACAAGCACTGACTATCTGTTATTTCATGATACTGAGGACAGAACACTTTTATGCCAAGAAGTTAATGATTCCTGAGGATGTTTTTATATGTAGGACATACTTTTGACAGTTATGGTGTAGAAAGCTTTAGATAAAAGTGATTTGTCCTGGGTTTCCTATATTGACATTTAGGATATGAGCCACCCAGAGGTACTTCAGGATCAACTTCAATTATCTAGGATGGGACAAATGAGGAATCACATCAATCAGTCCAATGTAGAATATTGCTATTCATAAAAATATATTAAAATAATTATATATACACATTTGTAAACTATAAATATTTTTCAATAAACATGGTTTTATTTTATTTTTTAAATGTCAATTAGTGTTATTATCATTATTTCCTAACACACATGCAAAGGTCTGGGAATTAATACATTGAGGAAAATATTTTATGTTACTATTGTTTCTCCTATGGTACCCGTACAATGGGGTACTGAATGCACATGAAAACAGTGGAAATCCCAGAAAACACAATTTTAAGTGACAGCATCCCCTTGGCAAATAGTAACTTACAGACTCTCACTGCATTTTTAATATTTTTGTATTTTCTCCATGACCATTTAGTCCCCTTACACGCCTCCCCCCACGATCACCACACGGTCGTCCATGTCCATGAGTCCTTTCTCCATTTTGCTCAGTCCCTCCACCCCCTGACCTCCCCCCGCCAGGCCTTAGCTATCATCCTGCTCTCCATCTACGAGCAAACTACAAGTACTGTTAAAGTCATTTTGGATCCCATTTTAAATTTTGGGTTGCTTGTATTTCATCAGATTCTTTAAACTCCAGCTCCAAACCACAAGGCAAAATAAATCTGAGAGTGAACTAAAATGCTTCAGATTCATTTTGAAGCTACAGCTAGTTTAAAAATTAACAGGAAAACAGGAGAAAACTGTAATTGTTACTTAACAATGACTCATTACCTTTTATTGATTCATAGCATGAACAATCCTTGGTGAAATCACTTAAAATACAGGTTTCTTGGCAAAGTACTCTTTCTTAGCACTATGGCTTTCTTAGTCCAAATTATGTTCAATTGCAGGATTTTAGTAATATTTAAAAAGAAAACGACATTTTAATTCAGGGAATTGTTACTCCAGGCTCATTAGGTGATTTTTCGAATGTGAGCACAGACTATATTTAATTCATCAACACACACAGAAATCAATGATCTCTTTGTGACAGTATGACAATGATTAAAAAAACAGCGCACTACCTCGGCAAATAATATTTTTAATAGATGGAAGTCAGATAGAAGTGACAGTGGATTGTTTTTGCAAGGACTTTTATTGTGCTGTGAATCTAAGTGCATTAAGTATCTCCCAAAGATATAAGTAGATAAATTCCCAGTGGGAGTGAATATATAGAAAGAATAGACATTTCTTCCAGGTAACCTGAAGAAAATGCACAGAGTAAGAAGAGGATGAAAAAATTAGAAAGAAGAACACAGTGAGATTAATAAAGTTTTCTTATTTAGTTTCCAAATAGCTAAGGCAAAAATGAAGAGGCGAGCACCCTAGCGATGGGCAATCCATTATTTAAAAGAATATAAACAAAAATTAACTTTTAAAATATTTTCTCCAGAATTGTTTTTAACCATGCTTTCTTGAATGACCTATTCCAATGACTCAAAGATATCTGTAGCAAAATATATAGACTTGTGGTCACTTTTGAATATTAAAATTATTTCGGCTCAATTAAAAACTCTAATCTTAGAGAAAATGTTTAACAGCCTTTTCTTATTGTCCCAGAAGAAACATAAAAAGGAAAATTAATAGCCCCACTGATCCAGATATTGCAGTTATAATATGTAGACTTTGAGAGAACATGACTAATGTGTTCTTATTGTAAAATATAGATTGTAAAGGATCTCAACCCAATGATGTCATAGGTGTGTCCGTATACTCATTTCCAGGTCTTACTAAAAAAAGAAATGTCAACTAACACTATTCACCATCTCCCTTGCCAAGTTATGTATGAACAAACAGACACTTGGAAACATGGATGAAGAGGTACATATAAATAAATAGGTGCAAACCTCAGGCTAGCAGTTGAGAGACTTTAAATGGTTATGCCCTAGGAGAAAGGAAAGTTTTACAAAAAAAAAAATAATAATAATAGTAAACCAGTATAGGCCAAATGAAGATGATTTTCCTTTATTAAACCTGACTACCAGATGAACATTAAATCATTTCTGGTGAAGTAAACCATCTAAATCATTATTTTTAATATATCTTAATGGGATTCAATTAAAAAAATTAGCACATATTAAATGAAACATAGGCAAATCAACTTAAACCAAGACATAAAGTTAAAATGATTTTAAAAGTCACACAAAGATCTTATGATTCTCAGACAAAGACTAAAACAACTATGGTTAATATATATATATAAGAAGATAGATAAAAAGATGGTAAATGATAAAATATTTGAATTCAATTTAAATAACGTGCAAATATGACGAGAGAATTATTAAACTAGAAAAAAGGTCAATAATAAAGAACAGATTGAAACAAAAAGAAATAATTAAAATTAAATGAAAGTGTATGATACATACTAGCACTGACATACTGACAGGGAAAATGTCAATTGTATCTGCAATTGAAGTCACAGAAAAATTAACATAGAAAAAAATGACTGAATAAATACTGGCCAAGCATATTCAAATGCAATTAAAAATTCTGATATATAGATTTAAGAAAACTTGTGAACACCCCCAAAAAGAAACAAAAAATCTTGAGATATTGTATAAAATCACAGAAAACTAAAGACAAAGAAAATGTAAAAACAGACATAAAAGGTATTTTACTTTCACAATAGCACTATAATTTGTGAATAGTGAATTTTGAACATAAATTATAGAAAGCAGAGGAAAATCAAATGATGCTTATAACTTTTGGAAAGAAAATAACAGCTATCCTGAGTTTCTATAAACATTAAAAATATTCAAAAATGAATGCAATTTAGAAGCACTTGCATGTAAAAACTGAAATAATTTGTTGCTATGCAACCTGCACCAAAAGAAATAATATAAGAAATATGTGTCTAAATTTTAAAAAAAAGCAGAATTAAAGGAAAGAATATCAGATGAGGTGATTTCTTGGTAAGAGCTAATTGTTTTAAACACTTTAAAATAATAATAATATTGTCTTTTGGCATTTCAAAATATGGAATGAAAATACATAATGTAATAGCAAAAA